AAAAAAAAAGATACCATGAGCCCGCTATCGCTTCTTTCAGTACCCAAGCTGCCGCAGTGTTTACTTGGAATTTCGTCACTGTCATAAGTTGTATGTCTGCCCCTATGAAAGCACATAGAAAGCTGAAGTAGCTTAACCAACACCGCTTTGCTTACTTTTGAACTTCAACTGAACACTAATGCAGCATGCTCCCTTTTAATTTAAGGAGTTTGCTAAATGCCAAACTAACTTCTCAAGAGGATGTTAAACCAATTTTCTAGGTAATCATAGAACGATCTTAGTACTAAGCCTCGCAAATAGATTGCTGCAAGAACCTCGCTAGTTAACTGGATACAAGGAGTAACAGGGATTTCTTGCACGCTTCATATGCTTACTCGCTTCTCTCATCTCAGTGAATGCGCCGAATTCTACAAAGGGACAGATGGCTTGAGAAAAAAAGGAAAGTCAGTGGGACTCAAGATTTTTAGCACACATGATGAAATACAATCACCCTTCTCAGTTGCAATTTTTATGTGCGCTAGTGTGCCTACTGCGTAACGCTAGCAGCCTATGCCACGGCACCGGCACGTGGTGGCGCCTCCTGTTGAGAAGGAGCACACCTGATCCAAATGCCACTCTTGATTTACAGAGGCTATCAGCCAATAGCATGCTATCTATTGATGGCAACGAAAGTGCTTTAAGAGTGAGAACCCACGTGAAAAGAGTGCACCTGAGAAAATGAAAGCTTCGCACACCACTCTCTCCCTGCCATACACGATTGCGATATTTGGCTAAGCTGTTCATAGTGTCTGCTTTCCACATATTTCACGAAGCTTAAGGGACACTTTTTTGATCACCTGTACACCTGCAGTCTGAAAACTTATAAAAACACGAGCCTCTGATATGATGAATAGACGACCAAGATATCGCACTTGGTAAAAAAGTTGTAAAAGGACAAAAGCCATAATACTCTCAACGTGTTCAATGCATAAGGGCACAGGAACAAGCACACGAATGCTGTGTATACAGGCGTGTGCACACAGACCCATGCATACAACAAGGTGGTCTTCACATAAAGCAGCAGGGAAGTGACAAGGAACACAAGGACAACATTTAAGAGTCAAATCACGAACATGCAACTGCACACGCATTGAGTGAAGTGGTTTTTTTTACGAACCAGACTTTTTCTCGGCAGTGGCTGAAAAGGGCAACATGTTCATGTTAACAGCAGTGCAAGAGCATTTAGCATTAGCAAAGCTTGATAAGTGAGCTCAAATATTTTGAACAGGTACATTGACTGACCTGGGGCCTTATTGATGGCTCATCAGAATCCTGCAAGTCATAAACCACATGCAGACATCTATTAAAAGCAAGCGCTGCAGTAACATAGACAATACAGGACCTTACCGGGACAACTTTTAGTTCTTTACAACCATCTCATGCTACCTGTCAATTTTTACCAGGGTTATAAGAGCTCTTTGTTTTGTTTCAAAATAATAAAGGACAAAGCGAAACTCGTTTCTCAGACCTCGCATGACCAGATCTTAAAGTTTGCAAAACCAAAAACAAAATGCATTTCCCACTTTTACTACAGTGTTTTCTGATGTATAAATCACAGCTTTGTATAGGACACACCCCCTATTTTTCACGATTGTCGCAGAAAAACATTATATATAAGACACACATTTTTAAGCCAGTCAACATAATAAAACTATATGATGCACACATCGATTTAATCATCGCAAAATGCATAGCCCCGCACAACACTGAATATCTATAAGCAGCATTATAAAATTCATAAACAACACTTTCCTAATAAATATAAAACCAACATTTATTGCCCTTCACTCAAAGCCACATCCTCCGGTGCACTGTCAAAAGTTCTGCCTCGGTTGGCAGCATGGCCAAGTTGGGTGCCGTTGTCGGCCTCTGAGTAACTCATTCCCGCGGCACTGTAAGCACCGTAGAGCGCATCGTTGGCATTGGCTCTAGGAAATATGAGGCTCGGTGGAGACATGCAAAATCACACAGCACACTCAACATCGCAACTACTGAAACGGTGAAACTACTGAACAAAAGCGCACAAAAGGTAAATGGCAACAGGAAGCCACAAGCTTCGACTACTGTTGAATTGCCAAGAAGTGTTATATAGAAACTGGTGATGGCAACAAAGTGGTGCTTTGGTTGTAGTAACTGGTGAATCGTGTAGTAACTGTTGAATCGTCCCCCGTAAAACATTGAGGTTGGTTAGTCAAACTTCATTACAAGTCCTCAGAGATGCGAATAACACACAGTAGGGTGCCCTTTATTTAATGCATCAATCCTGTGGGTTTAATGCTTTATGAAGAAACAACTAGGGCAGCAAGATAGCGCGTGTGATGGCATCGGCCTTTATTGGGGCTAATATCTCCATGGTCGCTGTGCTGCTTTAACGGCAATTGGCCGGCATCTGAGATCACAGTTTTTTACAAATGCTGTCACGTGCAGCTTAGCAGGATTACAGGCAAAATATGGACACTCTGGTCGCTCAAGATCGCATGAAACTTCATGTATATAAGACGTACCTGCGAAATGTTTACAAAAAAGGTGCATTTTATACTCTGGGAAATAGACTATACGTGTAGATAGGAAACTCCTCATATGAGTATGAAGCTTTCCCAGTGATTTACCCCATAAATTCTCATGTAGGTCAGACTTGTTTTGTTCCCCTATAGACAAGCACATTCTTACATTTGACATTTTACCCAACTGAACATTGTGGCTGATCAAAATCCTATGTGACATTTCGCAAGCTTGCAGTCATTTCTAAAAAATTACACATCGTCATTCAAGTGCGAATACATGACGCCACACAATTCAGAGCATCAGGCAACAATGAAAATGCAACACCTGTTTATGCAAAAGTTTACCTTTTTGATAGACCAAGCATCTTGATGTTTAGCTGCTACATGACGTTCTTTTTGAATAGGGTTCCCCCTGGCCATTGAGCGCCTTTTCTTCTAAGATCACTTTCTTATCAGGAAATATGCTCTGTGAGGCAAATGGAAAAAGTTCAGTAAGCGAGTTTAGTTCTCGTTCAAATAATTGAAGCAAACAAAAAAGTAAACCAACATAAGGTCCCACATCCCAAAATACAAGTTCTTGATCTTGTCATTTATCGTAAAAATTTTTTTTAAAAAGGTGAGTGAGTGCGCAGGCAACAAAGACTAAAAAATCTATATCCACCACCAGATACAAAAATGACCAGCAAGGCAGTTGTCACGATCATTAAGACGAAATGGTTTCATTTGATTTGGCTGCAGTCTCTGAACCAGGCTTTTGTGACGACCTGGCTTCCTTCTTGAGTCCATGTCTGCTCGCACTATCTCTTTTAGAATGGATACAAACCAACTAGCTCAGGTCTCTGTAATTCTAAGTTCTTGAATACTTGAACTGTGCCACACGAGTTCACTGAGTGCTAATGTTGAGCATCATTTTTGTGCTTCGTGGCTGCTAATTAAATGAAAAGTAGCACAACAAAATAGGCGGTCTCATCAGCTGGGGATGGCCGATCATTTTGATTCATGGATATGAATCGAAATTAATTTTGCATTCATTCATTTTGCACTCATGGATATGAATGCAAAGAGTTTCTTCTGTTTACTATTGCAGTGCTTTTCAACGTTGAAAATGACAACCCAGAGGTGCCCATTGACGCCACTTTTTCATACAGAAATGCATCTCGAAAGATGTTGCTGAAATAGAACTAGTCTTCATGAGTTCCAAGAGCACAATAATATATGCTCACAACTACCAGGCCATCAAACTTGCAACTTGTTTCTCTTTAAACTAATGTGAACAAAGAGATAACCATACCTGCCAAGTTCAAGGATTCTAAATTCGGGAGATTTCTGCAATTGGGGAGGGGAGGGTTGAGCCAATTTATTACCCCCCCCTCGTTTTTTGCACAAAAAGAAGCATAAAACATCACAAAAACAAAACAAGGCGGGGAAGTCTATAAACATCAACGATGCATCATTATAATGGCTTGGAGTGGCCAAACACATGAAGGTAGAGTTTCCCAACTGCAGTAGAGGGTGCGAGTCTCAAAGGGGGTGCACAAATATTTGTATCTCCCGAAATTTGGTGTCATAAAAAAACTAAAAAAATCTATTTCTGTCAAAAGAACTTGCATATGTCTTTCTGGGACACACATGAATGAATAGGACGGTGCAACCAGCTTCCAGGAAAGCGTGGGTTAACGCTTCGCTTGAGGCCAACTGAAAACTGAATGTCGAAGTATAGCCAAAGTACATAGACTGACAGGAACGTTACTTAATTTTTTGAACAAAAACGCCAATATGCTTCTTGCCTTTATCACGTCTTTATTGCCTTTAATCTACTGCAGCATTAGCCCTCGGCTAGTACCATATTTACTCTCATAATCCTTGCACTTTCTTTAGCGGAAAACCGATGCAAAGTTGGGGAGTGCGAGATTTCGCGAGAAAAACGTTTCATGAAAACGTACAGAGCGAAAAAGAAAACGAAGTGGCCACAAGTCGGGATTCTCAAGCCAGCAACTAACAGCAAGCTCTGAGAAGTACTAATTAAGACTTACCTCAACAATAAAAGCACAGGTTCAACACAAGGCAAGACTTATTTGAGACACAAAAAGTACAAGCAAATAGTTGAGAATTAGGATACAATACGCAAAGCTTGTGGGTGTAGCGGTAGCGTACGTCGATCAACAGGAGCCCTAAAAAGGTTAGCGTAGAACGTCAGTATTGAGCTGATGGCTATTAAACAGAATCGTCTAGTTTCCTTCAGAAAAAATAAAGTTTACCATCAATTCCTGTCTTAGGCACACAAAGGCCCAAGACGTCTAGGTGGCTTTCAGCTGCCGTCACCAGTAGCGAACACAAAACTCATCTACTCCAAAGGGCCTACCGGCAGCCCTGTTGCCGTTGTTTAGTGCATCATCAATCACTTTCAACTTGAAAGCAGCCGTGTAGCTTCCATATCGCCCCATAAGGTTACAAGATTAAAGACAACATACAAATCACGCCGCAATGCGCACTTGCCACTTTGGCTTGAATTGGATTGGATTGAATCTCAGTGCAATAATAGTACCCTATTTGCTTAGGAGATGGCCCCAGACGACGCACGCTATCATCATCAGTAGCTAGAACGAGCAGACATTATTGCGGCAATTTTCGGAAGTGCGATGATTACTCGAGGAAAAAAATGAAATATTTTTCCCCAGCGATGTGAGGGGTGCGAGAATTATGCGAGTGTGAGGATTACGCGAGTAAATACAGTAGTCGCTATTGATCGCATCGCGGTGACCACGGTTTCGCACGCGGCCGTTGCGGAAAACGGACACGTTAGTTTTCAATACGCATGTGCTAACTGCACATGTGCCTTCAAACAAAGTCTATCTATGACAAATTCTATCTTCGAAACAAAGCTATCCATGATCGCATCTGCCGCGGTTGTGTCAACAGCATTTGTGGAAAGCAATGTTGCTTTGAGTCATCAAGCGTTGGACGCGCGTGCACTTTCAGAGTTCTGACAGTAACGTCATTGCCATACATGCTCGGGTCAAGAGCAACCACGCTTTCTTCCACAGCCGTTGTTGCAAAGAATAACCACAGTTCTGACGGCGCGTGCGCTGGCCGCACCTGTCTTTGCGAGGCTTCGAGCACACTGCCCTCAGCCTTCAGTTCGACGTTTTCGGTACTAAAGTTCATATTACCCGCCACGATGAGGAAAAGTGTTCGGAACATCTGAATTTTCGCACTATGGACACAGTGAAATTTAGCTGAGAAATTTCACGAATTCATGTCTGCCAATTTCGCATCACTGAGTTTCTACAGTACGTTTAGACGAATGCCACCTAAATTCATTTACAATAAAACGCAATAGGTTCGCAAAAAGCCTGGATCGATTGGGCTGGCATATTTGTCAATGCGGCCAGATCATGACCAGAAATTTCCATTTCCGGAAGATTGTCTATACTAGTGATCAACTAGTATTGTGTCGTGTCTGTTCCCAAAAGTCAAGTAGAAGTCTGCATTTCTGAAGTTATAAGAGCAGGAACTGGCTTCAGGATGTTGCCAAATCAAAGAGTATTGAGTCAGTGATGCGCATTGCACTTTAGATCAAGAACTAAAGTTCTCCATTCCCAAAAATAAGGCAGAAGTGCAGCCAAAACCAAAAGGCCTGAAGCCTGCTGAGGTGCGACCAGTAACTACTGGAAATACAATATATTTTAAGCAACATAAAATAGAGCTCTGCCACAAAATAAAATCATATTTTTAAGAAAAGCCAGACATGGGTGCCGAAGAAAGAGGAGAGAAGCGGGATGACATGCCCTAGGCAGGAAAAGCGATAGGGAAAGAGCGGTTTCCAGGAATCAAGCTTTCTGGGAAATAAAAGAAATGCCGTGCTCACATCACCATCACACATTCAGTTATGCATAATTCAAATTGCCTCTAAAGATTAGGTGCAATTTCTAAAATTTCTGGAAGCAATTTTCAGCAAGCTAGAGCAGAGATGTGTTTAGGAATAGGTGTGGACAGATAGTGAAACACCGCAAAGCATTTCAGTGTCTTAGCAGCTGCTACCACCACCTTGCACAGTCTCTGCACATTTTCCCGCAGCCATATCCAGCGCTCAAGGCCAAGGCAAACCTGAAACTCTTGAGCAGGACTGGGAAGGCTCTCTGAGTCGGAGCCATCGATGGCTGACTGAGCCGACTGGCTGGCAAACTTGAGCACCAGTTCCCGCACCGAGGGCAACGAAGGGTCGCCCAGCTCCTCTCCCAACTCCTCCTCTCCTTCAGACCTTCGACGCCAACGCCCCGTCCCATTGACAGAATAAAAGGACACCCATGCCGGAACCCTGGTATCAAGAGGCCAGCTAACGAGGGTTGACCTCTCCAAACAGAGTTGATAAAGCACACCTCTAACTCACTTCTGAAAAGCTTTGCACGTCCGTTGCCTTCAATAAATGGAACCACACAGGAATTAACTTCGCAAGAACTAGGACTTAGAATGGGCTACCAGCTGTATTCAGTAATTCTGCGAACATCCCTAGCACCTTGAAACAATATTGTCTTTATGTGTTACAGATAGAGTAAACTATATATACTTTGCTAGTCCTGTATAAATTATATCTTTTTACTCCTCATCCTGTGCAATTACTGTCACATAATGTTGTATTAATATGCAAAAAAAAGTTATTCCTCTTGTTCTGCTGATTACATACGTATTTCGCAGTTCAATAGACATGTCTTGTCTATTTATAAAGGTTTGATAGATAATTGTACAGCATATTTTTTAATGTGTCATTATTTCAATGTATCTGGGTGTAGCCCCTACCTTATTCTTTGGTACTCTGATATATGTTAGTTCTTAGTTCCTTTATTTACTTTGTATTTACTTGAGAAATCGACATTAAAAATTTTTTTGTTTAATGTGATTATGACGACCTTCAACTGCAATATGACCTTCAATTGCCTTTGACTACAGTTATGACGAGTGTATGTCATCTTTATGGCAACATGAAATGAAAACTTTGATTTGATTTGATCTGTCCACTGATAAGTGTTTTCATAACACAGACAAATACTCACGACCTAACTCTGTCGCGAGAAACCTCGAATACATATACATTTGCCTTCATAATTTCCAACTTGCTCTCGTATGCACATTGGCCAATAACTAGCAGAAGAAAATATCCTAGTTTACAAAACAAAAAGGTATAAACAATACTGTGGAATGAAAAACCACTGCCTACAGTGTTGGCAGCCTTAACTATAATTCTTTCAGGTTGTAATATGTAGCTTTTTTATTTCCTCGTTCGCTGAAACCTTTTCTGCATTACTGGCTTTGACTGGATGGACGCTGAAAGCGTTCTGCAGAGACAAGTTGTGAGATTATGATGTGCTCTGGCTTTACAGACTGGTCAGTTTCCATTTCTTTGTCTAAATGGGTAAATATCCCATTGGTTCTGCCACAAGCTAAATGGCATTACCAGCACTAGTCAAGCAGCAACCTGATTCACTTCACGAGCGTTTTGCTAAAGTATTCCTACAATAAAATCTATGGTGATAAATGCGTGACTTGAACAACCACCGAGGCTTCCTTTGATGCAATGAAGAAAATGCAGGACATATGGCATAAAAATTATCAGGAAGCAGCAGTAAATTATAGCCTTCACAGGAAAGCAATGCAGTGATAATGCAAAAACGGCAAACTGAGGACAAACAGCATCAGCTATAGTAATCGCTATGATCATTATATTAACCTTCATAGATGGTGCAAGTAATGACTTTTAGGTTCTGGTTTCAGTTTTATTAGCAACCCAGCACGAGCAAAACAAAGACTTCATTTTCGTGCTGTTCTTGATACACGCTCAGACCAATTTTTTCTTGGAGAGTTCAGAGGTATTCTCCAGCAAATGGGGCTTTAGCAAAATGATGTGCACAACTGCTTTTCGCACAATGTAAATTAGTTACCCAACGGCTAATTTTCTATCATATATGCAACTGTGGTACACGTAAACAACACCCTGTAAGCAACAACATAACTCAGTTGTAAAAACACAAATGCTGGAAAAAAATGTGTTCTAAAATCACAAAAAGTAGGTATAAAACTCACAGTTGCGTCTTCGATGTTTAGGTGAGGAGTGCTGACAGCTGCTGTGAGTGTCCGCATGTGTACAGTTGGGCGGAATGCCTTTCTAGGACTAGAGTAAACCTTTGAAAAAAAAAGTGTTCACTTTGTAAGCACCGCGAAATCACCCTTTTCAGCCACACTCAAGCGACAAAATCGAGACAAAATTTTATTTACTGCAGACATGTTTACCGTATGTTTGACAAGGTGGTTATTTCTCAGATAAAAGAGCCGCACTGAAAATAGCACCTCCAGAGTCAACGTTGTTATCTACAGCTGCAGTAAAAAAAAACGAAGGCTGAAAAGTAATCTTTGCAAAGTGAGTGTGAAAGCTGGCTTCACTATACAGAACAATGAATTTGAGCAAATACAAAAGACTTCTTCCTCTAGGTGCCAGCTATAATGATATACTCTGCGACAAAGGCAGTACGTACCATAAAACCATGCTCAAACAAATCAAAACAAGGCAACAAGTTTGCCTCTCATCGAGACCCTTGCTAGTAAGCTTATGTATAAAGGCACAGCATACTTACCGTTATGATAACTAAGCAGTAGCAATGACCTACTATATTTCGAAAGAGCTCATTTTCACTATTTGCATATTAATAATATCTGGGCTTTTACGTGCCAAAACCATAATATAATTACGAGGCTCTGGAATTTCAACCACCTGGTGTTGTTTAACATGCACCGACAACACAAAGCAGATGATCCTCCAGCATTCTGCCTCCACCAAAATGCAACCACTGTGACCTTCGGGTTCGCAGCTGAGCAATGTATCCAGTACACCCCTGTGGTAGACTGGCTTACATTTTTGCAGAGCTCACAATCATCCCTAGGTGAGAAGCTTTGCACGACTAGCATTTCATCTAACTGTATACCTTTAACCACGTAAATTTCATTTAGAAAGACAAACCGACAAAATAAAATTTGGGAAGACAGGTATGAAACAAACCGATGAGTTATTGGCTCTTATTTCTCTATAAATAATGTTCATGAAATGTATAAAATCACTGAAGTTGCTGCAATGGCAGTAGCAGGTGGCAGTGCAAGTAACAGTGTCTTCCAACTATTAGCCTTCCGACACTTGCCTAACTTGACATCTTTTGATTGATTTCTAAACTAGTTATTGCTACAATAAAGCACTACCTCTGCAGTACTTTATTTAGGTGTTTCCTTTTCTATATAATTTTGCACGAGATGGAATTTCTATTGTGAATTATTGGAATTGTTAGCAATTGAATACCACAAACAATATGTTAGTTTTGATAAACCGAATGTTCAGAAGATATACATTTATTTCCAGGCTTCATTATTGCTAAACAGGCCACATGAGATGCTAAATCGTCTGGACAATTGTAACATCAGTAAATTTTGCTCCAAGCTCTTTCAGACTGACCTGTTCTTCAAATGAATGCAGAGTTTCCTCAGGGTCCCCAGACGACGTCAATGATTTTGCACTTTGTAAAGATGATCGCCATGTAGATGAGGCCTCTACTTGTGCAACAAGCTTAGGATTATTGATGTAATAATCCCGCAGGTAGGAAGAAGGAAGCACAGGTGAGGAGAAACCATCTTCCTCATTGTCGTCTTCGAGTGGTGTGTCAAACGAAGAGCTCGTTTTGGCAGTGGTCAGGGAGTCTCGGCGACTTTCACTGGCCCGCCTCGACAAGTTTTCTACGCTGTAGGGGTTGTTCGGCAAAGGCACGGCATTCAGCCACTTGGCATGTTCCCGCTCTGCTATAGTTCCTGCAAGGGCAAAGAAAAATAAATGTACAGATCAGGAAGAATATGTAAAGCAGCTGATATGTTTATGCATTCTGCCAAGATGACATGCACTAACCGGGTTTTGGCGGTGCATTCAGCAGTTCAACCGAAGGCACAAGCTCTGTCTGCTCATCAACATTCTTGAATGTTGATGTGTTGTCGTAAGTAAGAGAGCTTTCCCCACTTGCGACCTGCAAAATAAATGTACCTAAGCAAGAGGTGCAATTGAACATGCCAGGAAAAGTAGTCCATGTCCCTAACCTCTTCATAAAGTAATTATGCAAGATCATTTATTGTCCACGTTACTACCAGAGAATAGTCTTGATGCTTAGAAACATGATGAATGTGAGCAATGCAACCATTAAATTAAGCCCACAATCAATATTAGCTTCTGTCTAGGTACTATATTCAAATGCGTGCATAGACAGAAAAAGGCTGCTAAAGTACAGCAGTGTAGACACACTTCACTCTGCCGAAGCTGCAGAAGTTTATTTGTTTGTTCGCAGAACAGTTACCTAAGGTGACAGGTATTCATCGTGAAGGAGTTGCACTGCAATCCAGACGTGGTTGTAAAAAGTGTTAGACCAAAATTTGTGTCGGGGCGAATCTTCAAAATAAGAAGTGGTCAAATATGAAAATTGTAAACGCAATCAGCAAAAGGCACAGCCAATGTGCAGCCAATATGCAGCCTATACTAGAGGAAAATGTTTACATAAACCTTTAGCACAGTATTCAAGCTATAAAATAGGCAACAATCGGTAAACTAGTTGGCCAAACCATATTCTGCACTGTTCTAAGAACAGCACAGATGTCAAAAAAAGGGAATATCAAGGCTTCAGCATGCTCTCTAAAATGTAAAGAGATGTTCAATAATACTGAGCTATCCATAAGAACCATCAAGATATTCAATCACTCATAATTGAAGGACCCCGACACCAAATTTGGAAACAAGAGATGCTTGTGTAGTTTGAGAGCCCTGTATGCACTTCTGATCGATTATTAGTGATGAGCATTGCCTATAAGATATTTTAATTTGGTTTTAAAGTAAGGGTGCAAGCTTGTCTAAGTATTCAGGTGCAATAGACATTTCAGTGCTTTGACGTAGACAGGGGGCACCTTAGTGACATTGCAGAGGTCAAGCAATTATTGATGGTATCGGAGTACATTTTCGGGGCATGCACAATACCCCAAATGGCACCCGGTAAGGACTACTGTTCGTTACCCCTCTCGCTTCTGTTGTCGGGCTGCTCTCAAGGTAGGTTTTGGCTGCTTATGCCAGGAATGCTTTTTTTTTCCCCTGAGGAGGAGCATGCTCAAAGCGTCTACATCGTTTCACTCTTCACCACCTGCGGGTCCACCTATTAGAAACGAGCGTGTTCAATGTCACCGAAGCTTGAGCCCACTTAGTCTCAGGCGACGTCCCGTCGTGGGGCACTAGTTTTTTAATAGTATTTAGGTGGCTGTTTAGAACTGGTACAAAATCATTCTGAATTAACTATGCTGGCATAAATTATACAATGCTTTACAGTATTTACGATCCAATTTCAGTATTATCATATGCAAAGCCACAAATCACTGAAAAAATATCGCAAGCAAAACTTTAGCGGTGAGGGGTGCTTTAAGATTGTACTGATGAAATATAGCTACATTTTTATTTTACTGCTCGAAAAAAAGCTGGCATACGTCATTAATGCCCGCGAAAGACACAACAGTAAAACATGAAGATACAGTCTCCTGAATTTGCAATATTGCGCTCCAACTATAATATTTGTCTTGGTGGACGACACTAGACCTGTGTTCCTGATGTGCAGTTACCTGGTTGGATCATGTTTGCAGTCAATATGGCCACGTTCCATTTCTCAAGTTTTGTTATCGCCCCAAAACGCTACACAATTCTCAGTGCAAAACTCGCATGCAGTTTTCGAGATGCTTCCAGACTTTAGTAGATCATTTCAATAAGATCACGCCCACTCTGCGAACTGTACAGATTATTCTGGAACCTACGCCACCACCAGCGATAACGCTAGAACATTCGATGGCAAGAGTATAAATGCCGACGCACTTCGCCGCTTGTCAGTAGTTGATCGACGGCCGACGCTCCGTTCACTGCTATCTGTGCAAGACTGCTGCTGTAATCGGACTTTTCGTATACCAGGCACAGGTTCGCCCAAATAAACAGTTAAATCCCAATGAACATAAGTTCATTTCTTCAATCATGTATTTTATTTCTATCGCCTTTCGGCATGGTTTCAGCTGTGTATAATGGCTACAACTTGCTTTGTATCTTGTGATTATTGCATACATTGTGTATTAATAACATAATTAACGTTTAATTTCTGCACTGCTCAATGATTATATGATGCAGATATTGTGATTCAAAGGACATAAATATTGTGATAACTCTCATGGAAACAATTATTACGTATGAACTACCAAGATGTGTACTGGATATAAAGAAAAGCATCACTAATTTGTAACTTATCTGCAAGAAAAAAATACATTCCTGGTGTTCAATATTATACAGAAGAACTGATGGTTGTTTTCCACTACTTTCATAAGTTTTACTATATAAACATCATGCAGGCTTTTATTAAACAGCTGTCAATTTAACCAATTTCGCAGAATTCGTTACACAACAGAAAATTGAGCACTCAGCACGGCAGGTATATAGAGCACAGGAAAGTCCTCAATTTATTAACTAAAATCTGAACTGCATACATATCCTACTCCTCAAAATTTAATATCTGCTGATAACAATCGCACCAACTTCTTTAAAGCACAGCAACAATCTGTGGGCGCCACTGTCTGTTTTCTCATTTAACATAAGAAACCTAAAGAGCCCTAGAGAAAGCCCAGACCATCACATTTGCATTGTCTATAGCGTAAGAGCATTTCGCTGAACATGTAGATAGAAACGTCGGCAGTGACAGGGATATTTTACAATGCTGCCTTCAACTAAACCATTCCCAACTTATGAGAATGAACAACTACCATATTTACTCTATTCTGATGCACAGTCTTTACTAAAATCGAAAAAGAAAAAGAAAGATGCTTGTGTTAAAATTACGAGCTATAACAGGTTTGAGACATACCTCATTGTAACTGACATTAAAGTGGACCAACACAAGGGTTTTTCTCTGCATATAAGAATACTCTGCATTCTCTGTGCAACATGTGCAGTGATTCCATGCAAGCGATGCACACCTCGAACATAAGTTTAGTGCAATTTAATGGTAACAGTGCATTCGTGTGCTCTTGCTAGGCGTACCCCACCTTCAATACAATGACTGTTAAAAAACAAATGTTTTTAACACGAAATTCCGTAACCACTCGTATGGCTAGCACTAGACGAGTACTTGACGCCATAAAGAAATTTCTGCAGTGGCCTGGAGTTTTCTAATCAGACTGCATCGAATTTGTGAAGTGAAGAAAACAGTTGATATTCACTTTATCAACTACACTGCACTGTCAAGCTTGTGGTTGCGTGTTCAAAGTGCAAAAATACTAATCTGTGAGGCAATGGGAGCATATTTAAAAAAAATGTTACAGGGAGGCAAACCTGCAGCAACACTCCACGGCATTTTTGGCAGCTTTGCGTCACTCTGAAATGTGCACGAACTTGAGATGTCACTTTTATATGTAGGAGCCCATCTATCACAGAGGCGATTACAGTGATTGGTGGGCAAGATCCAATGTGCTTCTCACTGCATCCTGGCAAGTGACATAAAGCCCAATAGTCCGTATGCAAAACTAGCACTGACGTTAGTAGTAAAGAGAAAAAGACCTCGCTAACACAGTACTTCTGCACACAGAACAAAAGGATATCTGCAGATAAATACATAGTAGCAAAGTTTAGCTTTTCAGAGGTCTTCAAACCAAACTGCGAGATAACACTAAAGGTGTGCCAGAATTGAGTAGATATGTCACATTGTACCTACCCTTTAAGGTAAAGATTGTCAATTAGGTTATAGCCTTTTTGAAGGCATTTCCAGCTTTTTAAACTCACTAAAAGTATGCCAGAATTGAGAAATATACCATGTTGTATCTACCTTCTAAGGTAAAGATTGTCAATTAGGTTATAGCCTTATTGAAGGCATTTCCAGCTTTTTAAACTCAATCAAAGAGAGTCTTATTTGCCCAAACACATATTTGCACACTGGTCAACCACAGCATCACGGTACCCATGAGGTGCCACCAACGGAGTGGTCTGCACGCTTGGAGTTTTTGGTAGTAACGATGCTCTCACACAGGCTTTTACTGAAACCTTAAGCTCTACAGTAAGGCCCCACCCTGAAGCAGCATGGCTAAATGCATTTCAGCAATTAGTTTTCTTGCACACCAAGTCTAAATTACTAGCATGTTATGCGCTAGACTTGCTTCCCACAAGCACCCCATCCAAAGAGCCAATGTAATTTACACACCCACACACACCACAATGCAAAGATCACCGAGGTGTTAACAGCAACAAGTCAGCTTTACCTTAGCAGGCTGCATCGCTGCCTGGCGCTCAGCCCATGTGCGCTGTATGACCACAGGTGGATGCCGTCCGACTGGCAGATTCTGCCACACGGGGATTCCAAATCCGTGCGAGGTTAGTGCATAACAACAAAGCGCATAGGAGAAAGGCCGCACCACAAGCAAGACACGAAACAGCCACCACAACATGCAGCAACAAAAGCAGGCATGCTGATAACCACCAGTGAGTAGCCCTTGAGTGCAAGCTTAACCAATATGCAAGTGAGAGTGAACAACCGGCTCATTATTCTCGACACAATTAAGGTAGATATTGATTTTGTAATTATTTATTAAATATAATGGGCAAATTCACTAGTTACAATACGTTACATTTAAAATAGAATTCATTATACATGTGATTAAGGTAGTCTACTGTTGTTTTTGTTGCTGGTAAAACAAGTGATGGCACAATAATTATGATCGCACGGTTATATAATGCAGCAGTACAACTAGTAACCTGTTTTTGAAGAAGTTTCTAGGGCTTGAACAGAAATAGGATTAACTATTTGTTTCAGTGCACCGATTTCTCCCGACGTCATTCGCCCCCTCACACAAGCCTTGAGTACATAAATCGAGTTGTAGAAACTGTGACAATGAAAAGAATAGGCAGTGCAGTTCTTATATGGGAAGATCAGATACAATTTTTTTTATTTCAGCAGAACAAGGTTAACAGGTAGTAACTTTGAAATCAGCTGTTAAGTACTGTCGAGTTTTGCCTAGAAACTTTGAATACAATGGCTCTGGTGAATATCGAAACACTTGGTTTCATATTACCACACATACCATAACAATTACTCGTGGTGCAACAGCATTACTTTCAAATACATGTTGTTTCCCCAAATAAACATTTCTTTTAATTTTCTAAAAAAAAATATACCCAGCAGTTCTGATGCAATACTTCTTTAGCTAACTTGCATTGCCTTCGTCAATGAAAAATTAGGGCAGGGAAACAATTCGTTGGCTCGTGCTTACTTTAAACAAGCAGCCCAGTTAGCAATACGTAATTCACTGCAATGGTCGGAAAAAACGCACAAGAAATGAAGCTTGGCCTGAATGTGCAGAGATGCAGAGCTACATATAGAAGCATGAACAGATGCATTTACATAGCAGAGGTCACATGTACAATGTTAATAGGTCGTGCCCTGCTCTTTATAAGCTCCTGTACCGAGATCAATGTACACAAATATTACACATAGCAACGACCACTCATTCCCGGTTCCTGCCGCTATACAAGAAGGAAAGCGAGTTCCTTGCATATTTCCGCCATTTCCATCACAGAATATATCAGGCTTGTAGATTACGGGCTCAATCTTATCCCTTACTTACTTAAATTATTTTTTTGCTATGTACTGCTACAGTACAAACATTGGAAATGAAATCAAAACTGAATGCAACCTTACGAAGAAAAATTTATCGCACAATCGAAGCCACCACCACTACAGTTAATGAAGTACCTGTCATGCAAGCTCTATAGAAAACAGCTAGAAATCGTAGAAGCATTGCAGAACGTTGCATCAACACGTATTATGTACAGCTCTACAAGTTTATGCTCACGTGACAATGCCACCTGACATAAGCCGAGGGGAGTATTCATAGAAATGCCGTTGACCTGGGAAAAAAAAACTTCTTGCCCTAGTAGTTCCTATATTGGAAAATGCACACAAATGTCTGCACAGGCTAACTTAACTCGCACTCTCTAGTAAATGGCCCAGACTCGCATGTACATCTCATGAAATCATCATAATCTTGGAGAACTGTACACAGTATAAAGCAGAAAACTAGTTATGCACTCCAATGCCCTGCAGGAAAAACTGATTCAATCAGCTAAGCTGGAAGTGGACATACCCATTGCTACAACAATCTCAGCAACAATGGAGATAGTTATACTAAGCATGGTGTCTAAAAGATTATGTAGCAACAACGTGTTCTAAGAAAATTCACCAGAAAATTCACTTGCAAAGTAAAATCTGTTGGGTAAATTTTCAGCAAGATTCTTAGAACCAGTACAGTGCCTATAGACAACTTATTGCACAAAGCTATGTTTTTCATTTACTTCATTCTTAAACACAGTTAGAAATACCTGCTTAAGCAGAAAGGCTGATTTCTCTGCCTTTCTGTAAATAACATTCTCTCTCTCTCCCTCTCTCTCTCAAACTTTTGTCAGGGCCACAACATTGCAATCTATGCACTACTGGTCAATGGTGATATGTAGGGTAATAAGCAGGCTAGCAGTGGTATTAAGTCAGATCTAAATCAAATTTCAACTTGTGCCGGTTGTTCTACCCAAGGAAGCAAACTACACAGACCTCTTAGACTGTAATAGACAGGATATGAACAGATATTACTGCTTAATTAAGCAGACCACCACTTCTGCATGAGAACATCGCAAATATTTTCTCTTAAAGCACACAATTCATTTAAATCACTGTAGTAATTTAGTTAGACCTCAGTGCAGACTAGATGTTCGTAAAAAAGTGCAGCCCTAAATGCCCATAATGCATGCAACCGAACTTGGGACAAGAAAGTCTTACTCCTTCAGATTCTGCCTTCTCCACAGTGCTCTTAGAAGGCTGGTGATTGTTTACGTGAGGACTGGATGCTTTGGCTGGTCGTTTGCAAGCTGGCTTCACCTTCAGATCAGCTGTAACAAATGCAGGAAACGAAAATGCTATTCACTTCCCCAGTTTTATTCAACTCACTGAATTCTATAGTATGACTTCCTAAGAAGGAAAAAGTATGGACCCTCTCCCCAAAAGGAAACGTAATGGGATGCTAAGCAACAGCGGTACGCATTCTGTTGACCCAGCTGAAACGAACGTGGATGCGGGTGCTGAAAGAACGGTTTAAAACGATACTCTGAGTAGCCTTTACTCAAGTTAACGTTTCTTTGTGACGCAAAGACACGGGAGGTGGGTTGGGTTTCGTGTAAGTTTCATAACAGATAAACGAGCCGAAAGAGTGTTTTCACTCGATGTGCACTCGAATGTTGCAAGCGATGGAGAGGGTGAAGCGAGATAAATGACACGCGGCAAGCGCAACAGGATAGGAAGAGAGTGACGTCGATGCGCGCGCACTGCAAGGGAAGACATCACCTACTTGGCACCACCTCAACACCTTCAGCCAGGGGAGCGTGGTGCGCATGGAGGGACAGCATTACGCGGGCTAATCAAAGAGCTGCTACGCCTCTAAAGAATTTCATGTGGGTCAGGATCGTGAGAATTGCAAGATTCAGTTTCATATGAAGCATCCAGCGAGTAACTGTCAATGCTGCATTTCTTGGCATTGAGTAAAGTATTATTATTTGGATCCAAGAGTATTCCAAACGAAGTAGTTGTGTGCACATCATGCGCTCACCAAACATGCTGACTACACAGACATTTAAAGGGTAATTCATGGCCTGTCATAACATCAAAGCTCCTGTCACAGAGCAGAAGTCAGTTTTACTGAAACGAACTGCATACTACATTGGGATTTCACATGCAGTTGTGTGAATACCATGCGTAGCATTCGGTAGTGTGTTTCTCTGGGGTTTAGTAACGATAAAATATGGCTTGCCAAATCATCAGAGTACATATGTAGAGTTTGCTGCACTGTTGTAAGAGTGCACTAAAACCAAAATTGATGTTAGCTAACATGTCTGTATCATAGAAGTACACAAGTAATGTTTATTATCCTGCCATAAAATTGGATAGCCATCACTGCAACTACAATTAACATTGAAAAGACACTACTGTTGCACAGGGTCTTCTTACAAAGTAGTTTCAAGACCAGGTGTGGCTGTGTAGTAGAAAATAATTGATTGCAATGCAGATTCCCTCGGTTCAATTTCCGCTGCGTCCCAATTTTTATAGCTTTTATTTGTTGGGTCAACACAACTGATGCCACAATTTCTTGATTATCTACCAATGTCTGCTTTCGCTGTTCCTGTGTACACAAACTGAATCACCTGCGGGGCATACCCGCATAGAGCAGGCTGCATGTGATATATAGGTTTGTGCCTCATGTGACTGGAGGAACAGGTTTTGGTATGTCCACACCCCAATTTTGGCACTATTTACATGACGACCAGAGAGTCATGATCAACATTCACACCCACGCTTTTCTGTTAATATTGATCATTATCAACTGACCGACATGTATATAAATGTCAAGCCAGAGCAATGGCGCTACAAAAACATTACCAGACAAATGACAATGCAGTCTATGTAGATGCCACACAATGCCTCAACAAGCCTATGTCTTGAGCGTTGTTTCTAACACTCCACCGAATGGTGTCTAGTTCGACCAATGCTCTATCCTCTCTAAAGGCGGAGGAATCTGCAATCACCTTGGCAATCTCCTCAACCATTGCCATACTAATCTTTAGTGACTCAAAAACAGCAATCCATAATTTCGCATGAGGCAGGGTTCACAGGTGAGCACCCGAAATTCTGAATTCAATTCAACCCCCGATTAGATGAAATCAACTCCAATGGATAACGGCTCATGCGGGCAACCCAGGAAATGAAGCAACCCACAAAACAGCTCGAGCGCACGTCAATCGAGCAGGGCCAACTACAGACCCAGGGAGCGCAATCGAAAGCATGGTTGATTACAAAGAAATCTCCACTATAAGGAGATCCAGCTTCAATATCCCTTCCTCCCTTCCCCCACAAATCGCTCTATAAACTGGAGCAGGTGACCTGGCATGAACTTCAATCGAAGTACCCTTTCATCCCCAGCTCCCCTTGCTCTAATCAACCCTGGCCTCTTCTCCCCTGAATGCACACTCAGATTTTCACCACATCATATACATGAGCCCCGAGTTCCAGCCACTTGTAGAATGACAACTCACCAATGTAGAGCAATGAAAGATAGCAGGGTCCAGCTCTAGGCTGCACAGAAACAGCTGGCAGACTGGGCTCCAACACTAGCTGAGAACCACAAGCTCCCAGCCACACTATGCGACATCCAGCCGGCCCATCAAAAGGCTGTCATCACAGGCTAAAATAATATATTTTCAGCACCACCGTCACCATAAACGCTAAAAGTGCCTTTGTTTCGCTCAGAAATGCTTCCCATTTAGTGCAATTCTGGCGAAACAAACAGCACGGACATTGCGGAGAACATAGAGGACACGGCGCTAAATAAAAATAAACACACGCTCCACCCGCAGTACTGCGGAGCGCCTTCCATTCATCTGTATAAGAGAGTCATGCTTGGTAGTTTCCACTGTAACAATAAATACTTTTTCACTGCTGATTCAATTGATTGATATGTGAGGTTTAACATCTCAAAACCACCATATGATTATGAGAGACGCCGTAGTGGAGGGCTCCGGAAGTTTCAACCACCTGGGGTTCTTTAACGTGCACCCAAATCTGAGCACACAGGCCTACAGCATTTCCGCCTCCATCGGAAATGCAGCCGCCGCAGCTGAGATTTGATACCGCAAAATACGGGTCAGCAGCCAAGTACCTTAGCCCCTAGACCATTGTGGCGGGGCTTCACTGCTGATGCAAATGCTAGGCATGTTATGAATTAAAAGTTCACTGTCCCTGGTTAAAATATTATGCTTTGCTGAGCAGTGAAGCCAGAAAGTCCAAGTTTCAAAAGCTACTAGCACCAATATGTACCTGTATAGAAAAGCCACCTACGTAAAATGCACGAGATACGCTCGGCGTTATGTAAATAAGCAATCGCGATTGCATCAGGCATTTATGCAATACTTCTGTGGGTAGAACAGCAGCTAAGGGCGGAGCTTACAATTATCCTTAAGTTGTAGCCAACTTAATAGAGAATTCTCATATCTGGGAAAAGAGAAGGAAACCACAAACTCACACAGGCGGAAGGTGATTGAGCTATGAGCTCTGCCAACACTGTTCCCAGCCACAGCAGTATATTTGGCTTCATCTTCAGGTGTGGGGCTTTGCATCCTCAAACACCATTCCCCATAGCCTTTGTTCTCTATAGCCGAAGAAAACACACCACATTATCACAATTTTGTTTACTGAACAATGTTGATCAATTGATCAAACACAACTCAAAATGCACCTCACATCCATCACTAAAACATATTTTCACCTATTTAAGCTCTTTAAATTTCAATTAAAAGATCAGTAAAGTCGTCAGTAATGTTAAGAAAATTCTATAAAGCATGGAAGTATCAAGAAAACATTCATAAGGAATTATTGTTTCAGTAAGCCAGCTAGATTTCTCAGCTGATGACTAACATGTATGTCACAATAACTTTTATATATGTGAGAGCACAACTTAGCTCATCAGTGAAGGCAAGTAGCAGTGATGTAATACAGTCTATTCCCTATATATCAAACTCGGATGTGTAGAATTACCGACTATATCAAACAGTTCACAAATCCCCTAGAATTTCCCATGCAAAAGTATGGTAGCAGTGCACCCATATATCGAACTGCCCTGCAGCAGAACATCCACTATATTGAACGCTGCACCACGCCAAAGCCCAAAAAATGAATTTTTCCTAGCAACTACTGATCAATTATCGGCTGGGTTGTAAGAAGTTCCAGTCCCTTTTCGCACACAGGTGGCGAAAAAGGCGGTGTTGTTCTATCGCGCTAATCTGCTCCGTTGCACGGCGCTTGCCATTGCACCTTTATGTTTGATGCGTACATTCTGCAGGTCTTGACACGCGGGCACAGTGTTTTCAAAATGACCGATTGCAGAGGACACCTAAATAAGAATGCAAAGTGATTCGGCCCAATGTCCGCACTCCCTTCCTTGTTTGCTAGCACACAATGGCATGCAAGCCTGAAAAGCATGGCTTTCAAGACGTGAAACCTTGCGACGTATTTTGTGTTTTCGGTTTTGAAATGCATGTCTCAGAGAATACGCTTTTTAAAGCTTTTCGAATCAAAACACCTGAAAGCAGCAGCTGCACGCTACAAAGCCATAAGTGACATCGGCAACGCGAACAACGTCAACGGAGGGAACTCGACGGCATGGCTCGGCGTTGCCTTTTGCGCCTTGTGGACTTGTGTACTTCTTGCTTCATTCCTGATAAATCCTCATTAGAGAGTCGAACAGAACATTGACCCACACGCAGCGATAGAAATTATGACTGGCACTTGGAGCGACAATAAGTCAAGCAACGTCGTAAACTTTCCTTGCAAGCCAGGTAACGACTTCAGGTGCGTCATGACCGCTGACAATGGCATGCGGTGCCTCAGTGAATTCTGCGACTTATCCGCATTTCCAGGCCCTATCTCGGACAGCGAACGACTTCATCAGTGCAGATGACAATGTAGCCGTTTCTGACTGCATCGATGCGGAGATTATGGCTGCCGTTGTTGCCGTGGAAGTGAACCAATGCGGTTATAAATATACCACTGCCTCTGCTGCCGCCGCTAGTCAACATTTGGCCGCACTACAAAGCTTGCAGCGGGAATCTGCATCAATAATCGTTGTTGTGGCTGAAGGAGCTGGATTCGCTCATTTGAAAAGCTTCAGAGATATTGAAGCTGACTGGAACTTGACGGTGCGCAACAAGCGAGACAAGTTTACGAACTACAGTCAAACCCGCTACAACGAGACAAGTTTACGAACTACAGTCAAACCCGCTACAACGAGACAAGTTTACGAACTACAGTCAAACCCGCTACAATGAAACTGACGGGGCACGGAAAAATTTTTTAAGCGAAAATTTCCTTGTAGTGAAATCGAAAAAATATAGCTGATCTGAGCTAGCAAAACAAAGGAACCTTTATTCTCAACATTCAAAAAATGTCCGCTGCTTCCTAATTCTTCCCCAGCAGCGTCACGACACGATTCTCACCCATGCATAGCGAGGCCATGGTGAAAAGCACGCTGAAACAAAGCCTAAAACCACCTTCGTGAACGAACCAAACTGTTGCATTAACACGTTAACACCAGCAGCTGTCCGCCACCAAAAGTATCCGACAATGCCGAGATGGAGGCAGGGTATCGTGGAGCGGGGACTTTTGCATTATTCTATGCCATTCTTATCATCCATCACTCGCAGCTAGCCGATTTTGTCGAAAATGCGGACGAACAGCCGCTCTTATTAGTTACCACAGTGGCAAAGGGGGAACATAATGATAAGCATCGGAATCGGAAAAAGCATCATTCCGCGGTTGCACCCAGCAGCTGCGTCAATGAAACCATGAACTGAGCGACTGAGCTTCAGCTTCGGATCGTCTGCGACTCAAAAGCAAGCCAGTGGCAAAAGCAGGGCTAAAGTTGCTACACTCTGGCAAGGCAGTCTCATTGCCATCACTATCGAGCAATCGCAGCGCCCATACTTGCTGAACAGTGGCGGTGTAGCGGCGGTTTCTGGTGGTGCCAACGCATGTTTTAGACTTCGTTGACCCATTTTCAGGCTCTGTCAAAGATTGGGTTTACTGCATAAAAATAAGTATCTGAGCCTGGAATTGCATCGTGAAATTTCGTTGAAGTGGGACGATCGAAGAAAAAGTGTTCATTGTGGCAGCAATATTTATGCATTGACTCCTATGGACTGCTGACGGAGAATCGTGAATTTTTCATTGTAGCGGAAATTTCCTTGAAGCGGTGTTCGTTGTAGCAGAGTTCGACTGTATTTTCATGCGAAATAAATTGCGGTAACTTGCAGTTGTCTCCTTGTTCTTCATTATACTGCGAGCAAATCATTGTATTAGCACTTGTAACGATTTCAAAGGCCTAGAATGCATTAATTTAGGCCCTAAGCATGTCTATTTTGTATTTCAAATTATCAATACATCAACTATTTCGCGATCCCCTGCGAGTTTGATATATCTGGGATCGACTTCACACAATACAATTTTACACTACTGAACAACACTCTAATCAGGACGCTGTATTGAGAAAAAAAAAATAAGATTTTAATTTGTTTAGGGTGCCCCATTTCACTCTGGTTCAGCGCTAGTTTCGGGAACAAAAAATTTATAGCTTTTCATGAACCGTTTAGCAGCACTTAACTGGTTCACAATACAGTTTAGAACAGTAAAGTTTATCATCAACGCGTTGTACAGACTTAAATGTGCCAAGCTGAAACACCCTAGGTAGCAGTACTCAAGTGAATGCACTCGCTTGTTGACGATGACTTGTATTTGGCAATTTTTGTTAATTTTCTTTGTCATTTTCGATCAAAGCCTTGAGCTAAGTATATGACACGTCATCAAGTTCTGCAAGGAAGTGCACGAAACACATGAAATGATTGTGTTGGCAGGTTTGAAACAGCAACTGAAGTTTTTGTATAAATATCTGTGAAATTCAGAGAACTGTAACAGCAGGCATACTCATAAATGCAGCCATCTTACAGGCACTGCACTGGAAGGCAAGCCTACGCTGATCCTAAATGCATCCAACTCTAAGCTTTCAAAAATTTATTTCCATCACCGAATGTACTGAAAACAGTAGCAAAGCAAGTGAGTGCTTGCAGAGTAAATCCTCAAGCCATATCAAACAGCAATGTTAGAGAAAACAGCCATCAAATATTGACCTAAACAACATAAAAAGAAGAGTCTTGTACAATCAGTTCATATCGCTACTACATAGCAACACGCAAATTTGAGACATGCACACTACATTTAACTAAGCAGGATTGTACCTGGTGCAAAATTATATTAAAATTAATGATAGAAGCAAGACTAGTACAACATAGAAGTATCTAATATGAAGCGTAGTGCTAGCTGTGTTGACCTAATCGTGTATCACTTCAAGAAATTTGAACATGTCAAACATGGCAAAGTAATAAATTGTTTTGACTAAATCGGGACAGTTAATTCATAGACTGCATAAAGTCTGCATGAAACTTCCTCAATGGAGGATACCTATTTCGCATAGGTTACCTCCCACGTGCTTGTACAGAAACTCGGTTCTTTTGAACAACAGCACTGGCACATCGAAATTGCTTAGATAAGCCTGCATTTAAACCAGTCCTTCTGTGAAGACTATAACACTGTTGTCACTTATACGTAAACCAGCAATCAATATTTTTCTCATGTGATGTATGATCAGGTTCAGGCCCATTCCAAGAACATTGTAGTGGGATCAGTTACACCACAATGCATAATAGTAGTAACTTGTTTGCTAAGTAAAAAGGATGTACAGTTGTAATTAAATAGCTTGAAAACCCAGTCACGAAAGTTAAAAAGCTGAACATCCTTGCATCACAGAGAGGGAGATGAATGGGTATGTGAACTGCATAAAACCAACTTTTCAGCATGTATTTCAATCCCAGGTAGCACACCTGCATTTCAAATACTACAGAACTTGTCACATTTCACCATGTTATGTTTTGTGGGAGCTGCATGTGCAAAAAACAAAGGAGCAATGAACACTGAACAGTAAGCATAGAAAAGATAGCAATGTACACACACCCAATGGCGAAGAAAGGCTAAGCATCAGTCAGCAGCAGTCGGGAAATAGGGGAGAGAAAGAGAGAAGACATGAAAAGAAACATGCACACATGTGGCAGTTGCAAAGAGAGAGAGCTCATATATAAGTAGGAGAAATAGCGTAAACATGCAAAGAAGAACCAATCTCAAATGACTATATTAAAATTGAATGTAATCATCACATAATGTCATCATATTTCACCCCTGCACCTAAAACACTTGAAGAATCCCATACGCTTCACTAAAGAGGATTCAAAGGCGAAATCCATTCATGTAGTGCCGCTATTTAATCATCACCATCATTGTCATCAGAGAGAATTCATGTGTCTAGCTTCAACATTAGCTGATGCTGTGGCTGCTGCTGCTGCTTATGAATTATAGCTCAGCTCTTTGTAACGGGTTAATGATTCCCCAACGCTCCACTTGTTATGCAATTCACATGGTGCAATTCTATGCTCATGTCATGCATTATTACATTTCTTAATGACGCTCACTGACCAACATAAAGACTGCATAAGGTGTTTTTCAAAAGCTGTTTCGCGCACTACAATGGCTCTTTGGTAGAATACCTGACTGCCGCGCATAGTACATGTGCGCTCAATTCCAGCTAACTGAAAAAAAAAAAAAAGATTTCAGACTTTTATGGAATTACGTGGGTTCTTGTACCACATGCCATATTTTTAAACATCAATGTCTAATGAAGAACTTGAGGCTTTCCCTTCAATAAACTAATTTAATGCAACTTACCAGTTATAGTGTTGACTTATGACACAATATACAGTACTCTCATTAAACGGAACCTGAAGGGACCGGGAAAATGTGTTCCATTAACAGGAGTTCCGTTTACTAAAAGGTGAGCTGGGTAGCAGCATTCAAGTATGAAAGCAATCATATCAGAAGCAGTTGTTCCATTTAAGCAGCAGTTCCATTTAACAGATTTCGGTTTACTGAGAGTCCACTGTATTGTTATTGACACTGACCACACCCTGATTGAAATTATAAATCTCAAGCGCCTGTACAAATTTTATGTATAACTGGGGGAATTATAGATATTTATCATCGAGATACTATAACACAAAAGAATATTAAATTTATAAAATAGTCAAGATGTTGATTCTATCTAAGAACATATGTAAAATAGGGCACTGCAAAGCTGCCAAATGTCCACAGTCGTGTCAAGATGGCTTCTGCCAAAATTTTTTTACCTGCGGCAAATTTACAGAGGCCCCACTCACCTACACAGAACCTTTCCTCTTCACTGTCAGGAAGGGGTAGGTCATCCCGTAGGAACCAAACTCGTGGCTCAGGGTAACCACTCACAGTGCACGAGATTTGCACCCAGGGATCTCCAGTCAGCTCTACTATGTGCGGAGCCACCGTGAAGTCTGGTGCATTTGTGGCACGGCTCGTAGCTGTGGCATAAAATGGCAACGCTGAGTTACTTCCTCACAGACATTTTTTCATCACAACCATAAATATGAAACTGATAGAGCCAAAACAAGGCAACATAAATCAGGCGAAAAAGTTCCTTTTTATTTATATGCACCCCTTCAATTTTAGCACACAAGTCAGCTGAATGTACTTATTAAGTAATGCATTTCATTCATAACAATTTCTTTTATGGCCAAGTTTTGATAAGACCAACAGGTTTCCTTGGTTCCTTCAAACTCCTTTGAGCAGAATTCTGCAGCATGCAATTAACACCGAACCATGGCAAGCCTTGTTCTGTTTGGTACACTGAATAGTAACGATTTATCACAACATCAAATCTACAGAAGTCTCCCCCAATGAAATCTTCCCAATTACACAATGATTTGTAAAAAACAGCACCGAAAGACAGGATGAAGAGAAGGATAAGTAAACCACAGTGCCAGGATTTGTGTCCTTTTCTTCATAAAATGTTTCAGCACTATCTTCTACAAATTGTGAACTAACTACCTGAAATGCACACCCTACTACACAAGCGAAGTTGATATGGATGCATATTCATGTAAACAGCACAAGTTTACTACAGAAAAAATAACAAAACAGACATAAACAGTAAACTGGGCAGGCAGGTATAGGTCCATATTATAAATGTAACGTGAAGGATAATAACCTGCAGCACAGGTACTGTATCTTCATGTTTGTGGGCCCTTTTATTTGCACCACATAGTAACGAAGGAGACACATGGGGGTTAATTAAAGCAGGTAACTCTTTGACAACAAATTTTTTTGTGTGTGAAATGTGTGTCCCAGAAATGTGTATCTGTTACTGAACCATCCATCAGATGAATCTATTTTAAAAAATTGTAAAAAGTTTCTGGGTGACCACAAAGGAACAGAAAGTCATTTGTGTTGTTACATACAGGTTCCTTATTCGTGAGTAATAGCAAACAAAATACTTAAAAGTGCTTACACATTTTACCAACAAAAATTATGCATTGTAATAAACATGGCTCCCCACATACTAAGATAAACTCAGAAGAGTACTTTTCCAGTAAATATTTTTGTGCTCTAACTCAAAGCTTCTCAGTGTCTTTAAAGCATGGCTCCACACAGAGTGGTTTTTTGCACTCGAAACACCTGTAGCGTGTTTCTTTACTGAAGTTTCTGTCACCGAGTAGCATTGGCAGACATAGCATCTCCTCTGGATCCTGCTTCCTTAGCATCGGTAGGCAGAAACTTCCTTGCAAAGCGCGAGGCATGCACTTCTATTGCGTAAGTGAACTGCGTGCGTTAGTGAGCACACAAAACTGTTTGGTTGTGAATCCATCCGAAAATCAAAACAAGTGAAAAAGCTGTAATATTCCTTCGTCTTATCTCCAGTGAGATGGAGTTAGCTTTCCTTTGTCCATAAAACAGGAACCACAACCATGACGACATCGTTTGTGTAATTTAGTACTATACAGAACCAGACTGAAGCGCGCCCTGAGGAGCCATAAACGAGCGACTAACAAGCAGTCACCCTTTCAGAGATCAGAAACCCGACGGTCGTCAGCTTTGCGGGTGCAAGCAGCGATAATCGCCCGAAGGAGGAAATGAAAATCAGCCGCGCTATGATGCACATTCGGATTGCACAAGCAAAATCCGAATGAGTTGCTGTGGCAAGGAAAAAAAATAATGGAAAGACAATAAAATTCTACGTATTCCCAAAGTGCAGCACATGCAAAGAAGGAGAAATGATCGAAAAAGGCACACTTTTTAAACATACATGCGATGACACATGTGTACATCTTTCACTGTCTTAAGCCTGTTTGGCATACCGTACATGTGCATATTCACCCATCCTAGGGTTACTACCCAGTCTCTACGAAACAAAAGTCCTTACAAACACAATAGAGAGCTGTACAACCCTTCTCTCTCTCACACACACACATATGCACACACGCACACATGATTGATTGATTGATTGATTGATACTGTGGGGTTTAACGTCCCAAAACCACCATATGATTATGAGAGGCGCCGTAGTGGAGGGCTCCGGAAATTTCGACTACCTGGGGTTTTTTAACGTGCACCCAAATCTGAGCACACGGGCCTACAACATTTCCGCCTCCATCGGAAATGCAGCCGCCGCAGCCGGGATTCGATCCCGCGACCTGCGGGTCAGCAGCCGAGTACCTTAGCCACTAGACCACCGCGGCGGGGCGCACACACGCACACATGCACACACTTGTATTTAGTAGTACATGTACAATAAGGCTCAGCCCATCTTCATAAATTGGCCATTCGTACTATACTAAAATAAGAGAATTAAGAAAAGGTGCACACCTCTTACAGCCAAGGCAAAGTCGCACCAGACTTCGTCTTTGTCGGTGTAGGCAACAGCAGAGTAGGTGCCTTCATCGCTTTTGCCAACATTGTAAAGCTCTAAGACATATTCTTTTCCACGAATCCTAGTAATTCGACAATGGTCGTTTGGCACCAGCTGATTCTTGCCTTGAAACCAGGCAACACCTGCAAAAAGCATTGCCAAAGATAAATACTGCAGCTCTTTCCTAGGGCTCGAAAAAACAAAAAAAATGTTCTCATTATACTTGCCCAGCAGCTTCGGTGTTGACACCTCACAGACAAACTTGGCAATCTTTCCACAATGTAATGTGGTCCTTGGCTTCTGGATGCAAATTGAAGTGCAGTGTAGGGTCTCTGCACTGTTTTCTTGCACCAGGATCAGAGTAGGCAGGTATCCTCAACTGTTTCAAAATTATCTTGGCAGCTGAAACATGCTCTTTTTTGTCCTTTTTTGGAGTTGATGTCAATGGCCACCCAGAACTCTTGGAGTCTTGCATCATCTGCAGCGAGGCTCTCAGCTGTGGCTTTGGGAAACCCCTGTTGTCTTTTTCATCCTCTACGAGTGATTTGTACTTCCAATTGGTCTGCACATATTGGAAGCAACAGGCATTACATACCAGAAACTGGGCAATTTAGGTTACTTAATAGGCTGCAAAAATAAGTGGTTAGAAGTAAGCATGGCGAAGAAATAGAATGAATGCTTTTACCGGAGCATCAACAGATTTCCGTGGGCCTGTAGCACTCTTGCCGTTACCATTGATGGTGGCTACTTTCGTGGCCTCCTTCTCAAAAACCTCATTCGCACCCAAGTCCTCTTCAGAGTCCGATGCACTAGACAATTCTAAAGAACCAACAGAAAGCTTCTCAGACATTTCTGAAAGTTCATCAAGGTCCCTGGAACAGAAATGCCAAATCACATTAACGCCAGTACTTAACAGCGAGTTAGCACTACGTGGAAGCCAACAATGTGTACATCAAGTCGCTCGTCTTTTACTAGCACCACTTTCACAATATGATCCAAGTAAGGTAGAGCATATGAATACAGATAAGGACACTGTAAAAGGCACGTTTCTCAATGCATCATGCTCATATGCATGTTACTGGTTTAGTTTCAGATAAAAAACTGTCCTTCTGCGGTCAGGAACTTAAAAGCGCACTACAGAGACCAGATGTCATTACATTACACAAATACATTGCCTCTCAACTATAGCTTCACGTACACCTAAACACCTTCACGGATGTTTATCACTTGTGTGCAATAACTTTCCCACATTGAACTCCACTCTAACCATTCTAAATGTGCTTGCAGCCCTACAAGCACTGTTGTCAAACAGTTGAAAGAATGGTGTCAGACTAATGGTGCCCTACATAGCAAAAGGACAGTGGCCAACATTTGAGAAAAGAGCATTTGCTTGGCTACCCCATTAACTTTCAGTAACTAGGTAGGTATACCAAGCAAATGGCAGTTTTTATGTCTGAACTCTACAAAAATCCACAAACACACCGATCTTTACCTGCTTCCCAATCGTACCCGTCCGCAATCATCCGAGGGATTAGGAATGACCATGTTTATGGGGTCGTAGTAGGCTGCAGTAGCGACCACCCCTGAAGGCACCAAGGGCAGCACTGCGCTTTCGCTGTCGAAACAACCAGTTGTCCTCCCAATCCTGCACACACGTCGTCCAGATGCGAGCTGGCGTATCATCCCCACTGCCTTTGGCACTGGCCTCATGGCCATCAACATCATCTCCTTCTAGCTCTTCCTCGTCAGAGTCCAAGGCATAGGGAGTGACAATGTCCACACCCATCTCTGGAAAGGGAACCTGCAGAAACGTGAAAAAGGAAGCCGTGTATTGCATTCTCCACCAAACGTTTTTGTTCATGCAGGACATACGTATTCGCCTGGCTGCGTGGCATCTCTTCAGAAGAGAAGCAGAGAGCACTCATGGTTGCGTCTAAGTTTCATTGTCAGTATTGCCGTGCGCACACGGTGCCTACTATTACCCCGGCATTACTGCTGTAAGCTATAAAAGTCATGTCATTCTGCAGCTGTACTGCTAATGCATGGTCTCTCCCAACCCATTGTTCTTTTAACTGTGTTTCATCCCGCTTACAACATTGAAAATGTAAGATTAACATTACTTTGCAATTTCATGTTCATGGAAGGTCACATAAAATAAACCATAACCATGCAAGTGAAGGTCACAGTTCATTGTCTCAAGCAAGCTATACATGCATGTTAAAGATAATACACTACTCATTTAACAAAGTAAAAGCAGCGAACAAACAAAAGCACAAATAGCGCACCTACCCTATGCTCTCGAGATAAATCCAGGGTGAAGGGAACTTGCATGCGAGAACTGCTGGTGCACTCCTCGGGGTCAGAAAGAGCTCTATTCCTGTCGTCGTCAGATTCCGTGTAAGCCTCGGTGATTTCCTCCTCAATTTTTTCCTCAATCTGTAGATAGAAAAGCGAGCACATTAAAAGTTGTGTAAGTGATTTGAAGGACGTGCTGTCATGAGCCAAATGAATTTTGCATTTGACTCGGAGACCCTGAATGACATGCTTTCATACATTAGCATACCTTCAGCATTACACAGACGTAGTTTTCAGTTTAGCTGTACTTTTAAAGTCACTAACAGGAACAAGGACACTAGCTACATAGCCCATGGCAAATGGAAAAGTTACGTGAGGCACAACGCAGTCAATTGAAGGAAGACCACTTTTCAGTTCCCTACCAAACTATGAATTTTCAGCAGAAGCTTCCATATTCAAGTGCACAGTATTTTAAGAACTCACAATATACTTAAACGGGTCCTCCTTGACACGTGACCAGAAGAACTCGTCAGACTCAGTTTCCTCCGTGAACTCTTCCTCTTCCTGTCCAGAGTCAGACAATGGGATGTCTGATTGGCAGCCGACATCAATATGTTCTGCAAATAAGGCACATGAAAGTGAGGAGCTGGATAAGATACTTATTAACCCTTTCATAACCGTAAGAAAGAAAATTAGAAAAAATAACAAAAAGAAATTTTTCTTGCTCAATTTGTAGAACTTTTTTAATCAAGCTGTACCATTCTTTCAATGCAATAAAGTTATCTTATGTACCTAATCGTGTTGAATAAAAGATTACCTCAAAGGTGGCTTCATTGCATGGCAATGAAAAGGAACATTAATAATAATAATAATAATAATAATAATAATAATAATAATAATAATAATAATAATAATAATAATAATAATATTAATAATAATAATAATAATAATAATAATAATAATAATAATAATAATAATAATAATAATAATAATAATAATAATAATAATTGCTGGTATTTTAACATCCATAAACCACCATATGATAATGAGTGATGCCATTATTAGATAATGTTTTTCTTTTTTTCTAACGCAATAAAATGAAATACAAGATACCAATGGCCCAACACAGACAAGTATGGCTGCCTAGCGTCAAGAAACACAAGTATGAGATAGTACAAGGTGGTTCCATGAGGGACAAATTTTCGTTGATGACGAGTATAGTCTTCACAAGTCATTTTGTTACAAAATCTCAAGATGACTAATAGTCGTCAACAGTAGCGAATAGGTTAAAAATCAACGAAGCACTTGTGCTGAAGAATTACCTGGATGCAAAGGTTTGCATGAAAGTCAAGTGACACTGCAGTGCTGTAATGGGCAACTGATTATTTCTACACGTGATGCATTGCTCAAATACAGCAAATGTGCTTCTCGCTTCATTTTCCAAGTTACTTCGTTACGTCGGCACAATCTCTGCGCCAAGCCAGCGAACTCCTTGCTCCTTGAATGCTGCATGTTCCTGGCTTGCTTATGTTTACCCGAAAATTCATTCGATCATGACCATTCGTAGGACCAGACACGTGTGACATTTTTCGTGGAACTACAGAAAAGAAATATTCATTATGCCTTGCTGCATCTGCAAATAAAACTGGCTCGCTGAATTTCTGAGCTACTTTGAACAATTTCATTTTTTGACTGTTGTATCTCTTAGTGTAGGACCTGGCCTACTGTATGAACTGTTACAAATGTTGACAGGGCTTGTTGCTGAGCTAGTTGCTTCATATTTAAGGGGAAAAACAGATACAGTGTAGTAGACAAATTTTACAAATGCCCATCAACTATTCCTACATGCACCAACACTGTGTAGTTTCTGCTATTATTACTCATCTTCGAGCTACAGTCAGAGATCGATAAATCGGACACCGATTATTCGGACAGCTGCCAGATCTGCATTCTGGACTATGTCCTGCAATCTGGACTGGACTAGGTCCTGCGATCTGGACTATGTCCGAGGAGTGCACACCGGATCAGCAGCCATTATCTCCTCCGGTACAGACACTATACAAAGTATGGCCTCAGAGATGAAAAATGAAAGCAAACTGGTGATCTCTTAGGATTTATTTCAATTGCCTCCCACCTTTATAATATGGAATGCCAATCTTGGAGGCACTGCTCAACTGTGGAAGGTCATATCAATATCGCGACCTCCTATGTTCCGGTTCTGCTATCCCCACGCTGTTACAACGCTGTACTGCTATCGCCGCCATTCTGTCGCATGTGTCTGCGGTACTGCGTTTTGCTGAATTCTGCGTGCATTCAGGTTTTGCGTTGGGACCTGTGTTATTTTGCGCTCTGCTGTCTCAAAAGATCTGAGTTAAATGTCAACAACGGTCCTTCACAGCCAGTGCCGAAGGCAACATTGACGACGATGAAACACAGCAGACATACACAATGCTAACTATGGGCAAGAAAAACTGCCATCTATCTGCAAGTGCTCAGTGGTCGCCAGCAAGTCGAAGTTGCCCGAGAGTTCAACGTTTCCGGAGTTCAAGAACCCGACACTGCAACTGAAGAGCCGGACTTGCCTGCCCAGCACAACGAGCTAAAGTGCAAAAGTTATTGACGACCTGCGAGGCTGCGGTGTGCCATTCCTGATGCAGTTACGTTTGAAGACTTCCCAAAGGTGGACAGTGTTGTATCGTCGTGTGCCGAATTGAACGATGACGACATAAATGAGCCGGTTCTTCAACCGGCAAACAGTGAGTCTGATGACGACGCACCGTGAGCTCCGGAGCCGTCACATGCAGACCTGTCTTGAGCCCTTGCAATTCTTTCGTTGTCCTACCTGTTGTCCCAAAACGAGCATACCACACTGGTGGAAATACACATGGACTTATTGCATGTAACCGGAAAGGTGTGCAGTGACGCATTGACCGATTTTTCTGGCCACCGGATCACTGAAGCCTCAATAATTTTTTTTCTGACGCATTTCTTTTTTCGGACATTAGATAATTCGTACTTATGTGCATTCCCCGTGAAATCCGTATTATTGGTCATCGACAGTATTAAAACAAGTAAAAAGGCAAATTCTGAAGTTCCTTCAAGCTTCCCACACTGTGAGATCACTGTTTTGTGGCATTTCTCACCTTTTTTTGCTGTCCTGATGATGTCAGGTTCACATGCATTTTTCAAATCCCCAGCTGAACCGTCCGTTGCGTATTTACGTTGAGCCATTTCAACAGCCTACAGGAATAAATAATAAAAACACAAATGTCTTATGCATTGAACGCACAGCATTACCTGAGTAAGAGAATAATCAACATACCTTATTGATGACAGCCACAACGAGAAGCTCCTCATAAGTGTCACAAACAACATCTTCATCATCACTGCCAGAAGCATCAGAACAGGCAGATGCATCTTTCGTTTTCAGGTTACGTTCCTCCTTGGAAGAAAAGACTTACATGAGCTTTAAATGAGTGCAGATAAAAGACAAGCTTGTATGAATCAATTGACATCTTCGACTGAAGTGCACTGGCACCGTGACGGTGGAAACGAAGTTACGTCAAACACCGCTCGAGTTTCACGCCCCGCTACGGGCAAGACGAAACGTGTGAACCACAAGACTCGAATCCATGACATGCCGTCTGCGAAAGACACCATTGAGCAGACGACAATTCGCAGCGTCCCCTTTGTAATGGGAATAAAAGAGCAAACAACGGAAAACCAGACAATAAAAGACACTTGCGAGATGCTACGTGTCTATTGGGTGCGCGTCTGTTCTCCAGGTGGTTGCGCTGCATCAGTTCTGTACCAACTCGACGAGGGTTACAGTAATTCTCGCATTGCCTTTTGTGTCCAGTGAAATCCTGGCAGCAAAGGTAGCCTTGTGCGAGTACGGCCAGACTATGTAAGCTCCCGCACGTTTTTTCCTTCGCGTCCAGGCATGTTCTGTGGCAGCGCCAGCTGTAAATTACGCCTGAAATGATGGAACGTCCTTGCGTTGACCGCGTCGTCTGCCAGCGCGTGCGGACTGATGGGATTGCACCACGCTCCGCCATTGACCTATGCGGTGACAAGCCCTCGTGTCTTGGCCGGCCCAGCCGAACACGTGGCACCGCACGCGTGGTGCCCAGACGAACGTACCCCACCGCACCAGTGCACAAAAAACAGCGCCGGTGCTGCCAGTCCAATATGCTAAATGTAATCCGCCAGTTTCTATGCCACCATAAGGATACTCCAAAGTTGCCACAACTTTATGAATGTAAGAAGTTAGGGGCTTTTAATTAGTGTGACTGACTACTTAGGCATTCAAAAAAAAAAGGGATAAAAATGTAATTTTCATAGGCATTATAGCAAATAGGCATTTCAAAAGTATGAAGAGCAGTTCAGCTGAAAAGCAGTGGAGCTCTGACACTAGGCTTAAATGCCCTAGCTAGTATTCCTGCTCAATCTGCTTGGGTTGTTCAATCCCCAATAACAAACAACATTCGATGACGCACAAATAGGAAGTCAATCAGGTGTCTAGTTCTTTGCCATCTTGTGTACACGTATAGCATTTCTTTGCAAAGGCTAATAAAAAGAGCTCCTTGTTACACATTGTACACGGGATAGGCACAGAATTCAGCCTACCTGCAAAGCTGGAAGAGCATCCACATACTTAGTGAGACTAAATATCAGCTCTTTGAGCCTGGCATGTGTGCTAGTAGGTGTCAGGTCTCCTTCACACTGCTTTCCTGCAATCACATCGAAAGATAGCATCTCACTGCGCGAAAGTACACATGGACACTGCACACAACACAACACTTACGCTAAAAATAGTTGACTATGTATTAAAAGTTGTCTGAAGCCAAAGCGACTCCCTAAAAAACAGTTTGTTTTTTTTTTTTGGCTGCCATAAATTCATTGCACCCCTGTTATTCTAAACAGAGTTACCCTCGGTTCAGAATAACAGGGGTGCGGTGAATGGAGAGGGCTAGGCAATCTTCTGGTGCTTTATGAAAGGAACTGTACTAGTGTTCCTCACACGAAATCACAAACTACAGTCCTTGCAAGTTATGAAATGAAAAAATAGAAGTCTGCACAGCAGTGTGCTTTCATCTTGCTGAAATGAAATATGAGAACTTACTGTTTTGCAACTATACTTTGGAAAATTCTTGCTGTAAAGCAACTTTAGAACATGTCTTAAAATATGCTTAGCAACAAGAGAAAAAAGAATGGAGTCACACACTTCTTGAGTTTCAGCTCTACACACTGAAACTTGTATCTCCGGTGTTACCACTGTCACCAGCATAGCACTGAATTCATAGAGGCCAAACTAAGGTTTACATAATTTACCCAAGCAGTCCTCTCTAATAACAATGCCATGTATTGATAACTGCAGTAAATTCTAAGTATCATCAGCATGAATACATATATGCCAACACAACAGAAAAAAGGAAATTGGAACACCTCTCACGTGGGATTTTATGAACATGTATTATTACCTCGCTATACGCTATAACTAAATGTTCTGTCCCTCACCTATCATGCAGAGAACATTCAATGTGTCGTAAGTGCTTACACTTCCTGACTGGACAATCTACACTCAAACTTTACACACAGCTGAAATATTGCATGAACCATACTGTGAATAAAGCCTCATTTTCAGCTTCAACTTAACAGTTTCATCTACCATACAGCAAGTACCCCAAGCTGGCGCTGGCTGAAGCAACGTTGGTTAAAAGCAAGCCGAACCAGTGCAGTGGTGGCGGCTATAGAGAACACCGCATTTTCAATTTAGTGATGACACATGGGACCGCAGTTTGAAAGTTCCATTTGAATGAAATGTGAGAGAGGCATCTCATCAGATAGCACACACCTCTAATTTAGTACAAATGGAACTGGGAAGGCATATCACCAAGAAATGTGATTATCGACAGCACCTGACACAATATTACAGTTTCGCTGCAGATCAGCCAGGTACTATATGCGTAAACACCCAAACCAAAGCCTTACTGCAGCATGTGGCAGCCCTAGTTAGAAGTTGTAATTAAATGCTAAAACACATATAAAGAACAAACAAAAGCTAAAGAAAATAGTATAAAAAAAGGCCCCATGCTTACCTTGCAATGCAATGAGAAGGGCTCTTGTGAATTGAGAAACACCCTCCAAGAGCTTTTCTTTGTGATCAGTGAAGGTCTTTTCATCTGCAAAAAAAAACAAAAAATACACAACATTGATATAAATTATTATGTGTTCTTTTTTTTTAGAAACTACAGAATTTACTACAGTTGCAAGTGGCCCATATCAAATACATGGAATGAGCAAATTAATAAGGTTGGTTGCACTAGTTATGGTTTTATTTAATACATCATAGTCTGCAATTTAATCAGATGTATTCAGATCAAACAAATCTTCAGGATGACGTGATTTTTGAGATTGATTGATTGATTGACTTAAAGGGTTGAACATCCCAAAACCATCACATGATTATGAGAGACGCCGTAGTGGAGGGCTCTGGAAATTTCGACCACCTGGGGTTCTTTAACGTGCACCCCAATCTGAGCTCACGGGCCTACAACATTTCCGCCTCCATCGGAAATGCAGCCGGGATTCGATCCCACAACCTGCGAGTCAGCAGCAGAGTACGTTAGCCACTAGACCACCACAACGGGCCAGACTTTTGAGAAATTTATTTTCAATGTGTACAGTACATAAAACTAGAAAAGTTATTTTTCCCCAAATTAGCAAATTATCATTTGCCAATAAGAAAGCAGCCCTCCTTAAATGAGAAAGTGCTTGTCTCGTGAGAAAATGCGCAAAAAGAAAACACAGGCGACAACATTTCCTTGAGGTTTCTAGGACAAATCACTCTGATGTTTTTATGTTCGAACAGTATCTTTTTAATCTTTCTCAATTCTGAACATCAATTTCTAACATTGCACTTTAAAACAACATACAACATGCCAAGTTTAAGGAAAATTTGATCAAGTTAGGCCAATACATAAAAATACATTAGAAACAATGTTATCACTCTTGTATACAGGTGCTAAAGTTTCACCGATATTCAAAAATGAAACTTAGACCCTACTTTTCTTGTCTGGTAATCAACCTATGTATCTATGACAACTAAATTAATAGTCAATTCAGTTCTCAAAGAATAATACCTATGTATCTATGACAACTAAATTAATAACCAATTGAGTTCTCAAAGAATAATTTATCAGTCTATACTGATTTAGTGTTTGACTTACAACATGTGAAGGAAAAATGACACATTTTTAGCAAATGTTTAATGGTGCACCTGAAAAACACGGGCATTATCAAAGTTAATTCCAATTTTGTATGACTGGCAAATTCACAAGCTACAATGCATGAACTGCAATATGTACCATAATTGAACTAAAGAGTTTAATTAGTCAATCTGTTAGTTGGATGTCCTGATTTCTTGACGTAGCGATTCAGTCGACAGATAAAAATTAGCGAATCTACCATAGGAGCTTAAAAATGTTTAAACACTGAACATAAGCCTAAAAGCATGCTCTATGTATAAGAAAAGCAGGTAGAACACAAACAAAATAGTACAATACACATGCACACTAATGCACGTACGCACACACACACTAATATCTCATGGTAGTTTGGAAAGAGACTCACAAAGAGGGTGCCTGTAGAGACGACTCACAGAGGCAGAATCTAGCGATTCGCCCAGGAGGCTCTCAATTACAGATTCCACATGCTGTTGAACATCGGATTCCTCTTGCTCTGTAGCTTCTAAATCAGATGCCTTATCTGCAGGGGTCATCAAATAAAAGAACATCCAGTGCAAGAGTTTGAATCAACTAATGATAAAACATCATGAACCACACTCTCTCATCACATCACATCACATCATCTGAAATTCAATGAGTTTCCATCATGGAATGCTTGATTGCCTGGAGGCAAGCAGAAACTTTCAATGATAAAATGTACATGAAAAACAAGCACACATATTGATCGTGAAACTGTTTAAACACTAGTAATAAATGTGCACTTGCTTATGTATGGCATAAATTATTGAAAAGTCGAGAAGTAGAGTAGACTTTCAGTAAATGGAAATCTCTAAGCATAATTGCAACTTAAATAACACTGACTGACCCTAATGAGAATAACTTCATATTTGAAGTTCTACATGCCTACTCATCTCTCGGTAAAAAGAACTCCGTCTAAATGAAACATCCATTTCCCGATCACTTAGGTTTCGTTTAACGAGCCTACTGTAGATGAAAACAGATTGAAGAAAAGTAGGGCAGCAAGAGACATTTATTGATATTCTTTTAATGCAACTCAAAGTGAAGCCCACCCTTTTACCTCATTTTGTGCTGCCAGCTGCACAGGAAGTACCATGTCTTTTTGAAAAATGCAAGATCTCATGGCACAAACATTGAATAAGAGTCCTTAAAAAAGCGATGCCAATATGATCAATCCTCAAAATGGCAATTAACATGCTAGCACCAAAGCACATAAACTGGGAAAAGACTGCCTTGCAATACTGAAAATTTTAAACTTGCCTGTTTTCTTTGGGCCATACAGGGACAGCAGAACCTTGGTACTTCCAAAATGGTTAAATTTGACCTTTACGTTTTCGTAAAACCACTCGCAGGACTGTGCACGCAGGCTCCTGCAGGAGACGAAGTCATCTTTCATTTCCCAATGCTCATTTCACAATTCTCAAAGTAGAAACTTGGCAAAACATCCCAGTAAGGCCACAGGTCATGCTACTAGTGACTGATGGAACAAGGCAAATCACATGGCGGTTTCATAATAATGCCACTGCAATGATTCATCATGCATAACAGTCAGCCATACTGTTCCAACGGCTCAAAGCAAACAGCTTCAAGACCTTTTGCAGCAGCTGCGCAGTCAAAGTGTACAGCAACCTGTCACGGAGTGTTTAATTGTATCTTCAAGGATGGCTCGTGCCTTTTTTGACAACACATAGAAGAGGTGGCTGTAAGTCGTAAAGCACCCTACATTGTCAAGTATAAAACTGCAACACAAGGCCTATACCTAAATACTCTAAAAAGCAAGCACCACGTGTAGCCATTGAATTTCCAGAATGTATATTAATGTTCTGAGCATCCAAGGAATGGTGGCATAACAACTGTCGTAATTGATGAGGGAGGGGACAATCGGCAGCGGCTAGCTCTTGTGCTACAGAAGAAGCCGCCAAGAGAAAGCCTTCTAATAAATTAGAAGCGAGAGCAACTATGCGAAGTGGCTCCTGCAGCAACACAGCAATTTTCATGCTACAGAACGTAACTTACCTAAACACTGCAATTTTCAAGTGTACAATACAAAGGGCATCGCTCATATCTGATTCGGTGACCAGGAGCTACAATTATTCGTTCTAAGCTAGTACATTTACCTTGTAATGCAATCAGCTTTTTGGTCCTATTATTACTTGATTTTTCTCGTATTTTTGTTCCTCTTTAGCCCTGTATGCGCTTTCCTACTTACATATTCTTGGACCACCTTTGGGTGCTACAGATGTCCCAACGTAAATAAGCAAAAGCAGCAATTTTTCCAAGTTCAGGATTTTATTTTAGAGCCTTTGTGTTGCACACAGGCAAAGAAAAAAGTTTAGGAGATGGTACACTTAATTAAAATATTTTATTCAATTGATCGATAATCAATTGATCGATGTTACGGGGAAGATTTATTCACCGAGAGCTGGTCTTGCTAATGGCTTAAAGAGCGCACAGTCATGCAGGCCAACGGGGGAAGCTCGAGAGTCCAACCCACAACAACCACGTTGCCGTCTTCTTCATTTGGGTGCCAATTCAGTTGTGTCGGGGCGACAGTTCCATGCACGTATCGTCACCCCGGCCCGTAAGGCACCGTCTTGGTGCCTGTTAAATGAGCGAGTCGGCGTTGTAGGACTTGAGACGAGAAACGTGGACTACTTCCGTTCTGGGTGCAGCAGCTGATGAGTTTGTGGTAGTGGCAATCTCGTAGGTCACAGGTGTGACCTGACGAATGACTCGGTAGGGCCCAGCGTATCGCGATAGTAGTTTCTCGCAGAGGCCAACACGTCGAGATGGGAGCCACAAGAGAACAAGAGATCCCGCAGGAAAAACGGCATCTCTATGTCGACGGTCATAAAGGGACTTCTGTGCTGTCTGCGACGACGATAACCGAGCGCGCGCTACCGCACGTACCGTGAGGGCACGGGTGATTGCATCCTGAGCGTACGAAGTGGAGGATGGGTGGTCTGATGAAAGCGGTCATAAAGGGACTTCTGTGCTGTCTGCGACGAGCATAACCGAGTGCGCGCTACCGCACGTACCGTGAGGGCACGGGTGATTGCATCCTGAGCGTACGAAGTGGAGGATGGGTGGTCTGATGAAAGCAGTGTGTCGAAGGGCCGTAAGGGATGACGTCCGAAGAGTAGATAAAAAGGGGAGTAGCTTGCTGTTTCATGACGGGACGAGTTATAGGGGAAGGTTACGAACGGAAGAGTTATGTCCTAATCAGTGTGGTCAGTAGATACGTACATAGAAAGCATGTCTGTCAATGTGCGGTTTAGGCGCTCCGTAAGGCTGTTAGTCTGAGGGTGGTAAGATGTGGTGAAGTTGTGACAGGAAGCACAAGATCCGAGTAGATCATCAACCACACGAGATAGAAAGTAGCGACCACGGTCTGTGAGCAGGTGAGACGGAGCGCCATGCTGGAGAATAATGTCGTACAGCAGGAAGTCGGCAATGTCGGTTGCGCAGCTACTTGGTAGCGCTCGAGTGATTGCATACCGAGTGGCATAGTCTGTGGCCACTGCAATCCATTTATTTCCAGTTGTAGAAGTAGGAAAGGGACCTAGCAAGTCCAACTCCTCTCGATAAAATGGCTCGGCTGGAACTTGTATAGGTTGTATAGGTTGAAGAAGACAGGCAGGGGGAGTCGTAGGCTTCTTTTGGCGCTGGCAGAGGTCGCAAGATGCGACGTAACGGCGAACAGAGCGGTACAGACCCTTCCAGAATACTCGTCTTCGAATGCGGTCGTAAGTTCTGGAGACTCCTAGATGTCAAGAAGTTGGAGCGTCGTGGAATTGTCGCAGAACATCCTTTCGCAGGTGATGCGGTTCGACGAGTAAAGTTCCACAGCCGTCGAGGTCTAAGTTGCGGCAGTACAAAACAGTTGTCTTGAAGCAGGTATCTGCTAAGAGAAGGGTCATCATAACGCGATTGAAGGCGGTCAATGATGGTGAGCAGCGATGGATCTCGGCACTGTTCGTCGGCCACGTTCAGAAAGTCAGTGATGGCTAAAACGCAGGCATTGGATTCCCAATCAGTGGAGCTAGGTGGATCAACGGGGTGCCAGGATAAGCAGTCAGCATCGCTGTGCAGCTTTCCAGATTTGTAAACAACCGAGAACGTGTACTCCTGTAATCGAAGTGCCGATTGGCCGAGTCTTCCTGTACGGTCCTTAAGCGTCGACAGCCAGCAAAGCGCATGATGGTCCGTGATGACTGCAAATGGACATTCGTATAAGTACGGATGGAATTTCGCAATAGCCCAAACGAGGGCTAAGCATTCCCACTCAGTGATGAAATAACTTTGTTCCGCTTGCCACAAAAGGTGGCTAGCGTGGGCTATCACACGGTTGGTGCCATTCTGTATCTGAGCGAGTATAGCACCAATGCCATGGCCGCTTGCATCGGTGCGAAGCTCTGTTTGAGCCGCTGGATCAAAATGAGCCAACACAGGTGGTGATGTGAGGGCGGTAATTAGCAACGCAAAGGAATGTTCTTGGTCCCTTACCCAAGAAAAGGCCACATTCTTTTTGAGGAGATCCGTGAGGGGCCTAGCAAAATTCGCGAAGTTGAAGACAAAGCGGCGGAAGTTTGAGCAGAGCCCAATAAAACTGCAAACTTCTTGTGTGGAACGCGGAACCGGGAAATTCTCGGACTGCACGGACTTTGTCAGGGTCGGTTTGAACACCAGTGGCGTCAACAAGATGGCCGAGTAGTTTAATCTGCCGGCGTCCAAATGAGCATTTCGACGAATTCAGTTGGAGACCAGCGCAACGAAAAACGTCAAGAATTGCCGAGAGACGAGACAGGAGGCTTTCGAAGGAGGGCGGGAAAACGATTACATCATCCAGATAGCAAAGGCAGGTCGACCATTTGAAACCGCGAAGTAGAAAGTCCATCATACGTTCAAAAGTAGCCAGGGCATTGCACAACCCAAAAAACATGACCTTCAATTGGTAAAGGTCGTCGTGTGTGATGAATGCTGTCTTCTCGCGGTCGCAGTCGTCGACCAAAATTTGCCAGTATCCGGATCAAAGGTCAAGGGACGAGAAATAGTTGGCCCCGTGGAGGCAGTCGAGCGCATCATCGATCCAGGGTAAAGGATAAACATCCTTCTTGGTGATCCGATTCAGGTGGCGATAGTCGACGCAAAAGCCCCAGGCGTTGTCCTTCATTTTAACCAAGACCACAGGGGATGCCCAAGGACTCGATGAAGGCTCAATGATGTCCTTACTCAGCATTTTCTCGACCTCCGTCTGTATAACTTGGCGCTCCGCATGTGACTCGCGATAAGGGCGTTTGTGAAGTGGACTGGCGTCGCAGGTGTTGATGCGGTGGGTTACGGCACTTGTGCGGCTCAGGAAAACGGTCATCGACGTCAAAGATATCCAGGTAAGAAAATAGAACACCCCGGAGCGCCGCAACTTGGGAAGGTAAGAGGTCGCTGGATATCATTTTGTCGAGGAACGCCTTATATTGCGACGTGATGACAAGTTTCGCCATGGTCTTAGTCATCATCATCATCATCATCATCATCATCAGCCTAACTACGTCCACTGCAGGACAAAGGCCTCTCCCATGTTCCGCCAGTTAACCCGGTCCTGTGCTTGCTGCTGCCAATTTATACCCCCAAACTTCTTAATCTCATCTGCCCACCTAACCTTCTGTCTCCCTCTAACCCGCTTCCCTTCTCTGGGAATCCAGTCAGTTACCCTTAATGACCAGCGGTTATCCTGTCTACGCGCTACATGCCCTGCCCATGTCCATTTCTTCTTCTTGATTTCAGTTATGATATCCTTAACCCCCGTTTGTTCCCTAATCCACTCTGCTCTCTTCTTGTCTCTTAAGATTACACCTACCATTTTTCTTTCCATTGCTCGCTGCGTCGTCCTCAATTTAAGCTGAACCCTCTTTGTAAGTCTCCAGGTTTCTGCTCCGTAGCTAAGTACCGGCAAGATACAGCTGTTATATACCTTCCTCTTGAGGGATAGTGGCAAACTACCTGTCATAATTTGAGAGTGCTTGCCGAATGTGCTCCACCCCATTCTTATTCTTCTAGTTACTTCAATCTCGTGGTTCGGCTCTGCGGTTATTACCTGCCCTAAGTAGACATAGTCTTTTACAACTTCAAGTGCACTATTACCTATCTCGAAGCGCTGCTCCTTGCCGAGGTTGTTGTACATTACTTTCGTTTTCTGCAGATTAATTTTAAGACCCACCTTTCTGCTCTCCTTGTCTAACTCCGTAATCATGAGTTGCAATTCGTCCCCCGAGTTACTCAGCAATGCAATGTCATCGGCGAAGCGCAGGTTACTAAGGTATTCTCCATTGACTCTTATCCGTAACTGTTCCCATTCTAGGCTTCTGAAAAC